GAAAGTCAAAAGAAAACAGCACAAACAACCATAATAACCACCGTACCCTCTGTCTCCCTTCCATTTATCTCTGCGTCGTGTCTTTGCTTTATTAACGGCTAATAGCGGAGAGTCCTGACTTATCAGTCCTGCTGATGATGCTGTGGGACATCAGACCCCAGGCTCTGTCCATTTTTTTTTTTTTTTGTCCATGTCTTTCCACACTCTGCCTGTCAATACAAAGGAAAGACCCAGGTTGCATGGGTCCTCTGGCTTATGGGGTTTAGGAGGTCTTTAAATAAAGGAATACAAAGTTAGTTATGGAAGTGAACACCTGATTTAAATGAGAATGAGAAATCACAGTGAAATTCACATTTTAAGAATTGACAGCGAATCCCTAGGTGGCTCAAGGGAATCCCTGGGTGGCTCAGTGGTTTAACACCTGCCTTCGGCCCGGGGTGATCCTGGAGTCCCGGGATCGAGTCCCACGTCGGGCTCCCTGCTTGGAGGCTGCTTCTCCCTCTGCCTGTGTCTCTGCCTCTGTGTGTGTGTGTGTGTGTGTGTTTCATGAATAAATAAATAAAATCTTTTAAAAAAAAGAATTGACAGATATCACAAAGAGAAAAATAATGTTTTTATTAGTTAGCTGCTTTGCACACCCCATGGGGGCTTTTTTGTCTACTTTTGTTTCATGCCTTTGATTGCCTCTACATATATGACAATGAGTTCCTAATATTTTCTACAGAGAGAAATGGAAATTAGTCCTTCTAACATATTTGATCAAATTTAATCAGATTTGATCAAGATTAGAAAACTTTTTGGCCTCACATTTAGTTTTTGGTGATGCTGGCTACATTTTTAGGATAGTACTAAATTTGAGAACACCTTCCTCAAGTTTCTTCCACAAATAAGCTGCAAAATTTGGGGATATTTCAAGTTTTCTTGCATATGGATTATTCATAAATACTCCAACAACATAGGGAATTCCTAGAAGCCGTTCCTGCCCCAGAATGGCCAGCCATTGTTTGGCTGTGCACCCAGGTGATTGGGAATCATATGAATACATCCCAGGAAACACAAATTAAATGTCACCTGGACTCAGCATCCCCTTACCTAAATCCCAAATTGCCTTTGGCTGTTCCAGCATCATGTCACCAGCATGAAGGAAAGTGTGACAAGGGAAGTCAGAGTAGGAAGAAACAGCAGAAGGGAAGTCAGAGTGGAAAGAAACAGCAGTATAAAGTGCTTGCAATTAAAATATCTTACTTTTGCAAATGTTACAAAAAATATGCCCACATGAACACATTGCTTGGGCCCCTTCTGGGGCCTTGAAGCTCCGGTTTCGTCAGCTCAATGGTAGTCCTGCCTCCATACATCACTCCTTCATTCCCAGGCATGTTGCCTCGTGGTAATGAGGTGACCCATGCAGCTCCTGGCACAAATCCACGTTAAAGTCAGGAAGAAGGCCAAATTGGCAGAACAGCCAAATCTACCTGTCTACAGTGCTTTTCCCCAAAGCTCCAGCTAGCGACCTCCACTCCATTCTTACTGGTCAGGACCAGGTCACAGAACTACTAGCTGCAAGGGAATCTGGGAAAGGAAGTATTTTTAAGTAGAAACATTTCTTTCTTTCTTTCTTTCTTTTTTAAGATTTTATTTATTCATGTGAGACACAGAGAGAAAGAGGCAGAGACATAGGCAGAGGGAGAAGCAGGCTCCATGCAGGGAACCCAATATGGGACTCCATCCCAGGACCCCAGGATCATGCCCTGAGCCAAAGGTGGACACTCAACCGCTGAGCCACCTAGGGGTCCCGAAGTAGAAACATTTACATGCCAACAAAATTAGAGCACCATTGGTCAAGAGAGAATGAATATTGGGTAACCAGCAAACAGTGTCTGCTCTAGCTTGCATGTAATTTTATATATGGATGGATGGATGGATGGATGGATGAGTAGCTAGATGGATGGATCAATGGATCGATGGATGGGTAGGTGGATGGGTGAGTTGGTAGATGGATGGATAGATGGGTAGATAAACGGGTGGACCGATAGAAGATAAATAGTAAGAATACCTATATTTTCTTATAAAAACTCATACTGCTTTATTAACATGTCATAATTTCCTTATGTGATTCACCAGTCCTTGAAAACTAGTCAATGGGAAATAACATTTTTTTTTTACCTAAATTGACATGTGTTGACCATCTTTTACTACTGAATAAATTATATTCTGCTAAATCATCCACTGCATTTTTTAAGTAGCAGAACCTTCTTTCAAACCAAACCCCCATCTGTCACACAGATGAAGGCTGAGTCCCTCTGGTTGAGTAAGGTGGCTGCCAGGAACCCTTTCTCTGCTCTCTCCCAGTAGCCCCTGAGGCATTTCTGTGGAACTCAGTATAGTCAGCAGGACTAGATAACCTTTCAGATCTTTCTAGCCCAAAAAGGCTGCTTTGAAACTGAGGGGCCCAGAGAGGAGCCTGGAGACCTCATGGACTCCCATGTGGCTCACCCACAAGCACAGCAGGTTGTAAGGCGAGCAGGAAGTGGGCCCTAGGGAAAACGGCTGCTCTGAGACGCTGGGTGTACCCACAACAGTGCTGGGTCCTGCACTTTCCCACCACCAAGGACCTTTCCTCAGGCCTTTGGGTAACAGACCAGACACTTCCAGCCCGCAGGCCAGACTCCGTTTCTTCATCCACTGGAGAGGATGAATACCACCCACCTTAAGTTATTTCTTAAGTCTATAAGGTTTTAAGAAGATGGTACGGCAGGGGCGCCTGGCTGGCTCAGTTGGTAGAATGTGCAACTCTTGATCTCAGGGTTGTAAGTTCGAGCCCCATGTTGGTCGTAGAGATTACTTAAAATCTTTTTGGGGGGATAAAAGGGAAATGGTATGGTTGACAGGGTTTTCCAAAATCTGAAACACTCTCACATGTAAGTGAAGTGTTCTCTGTCTTCTAGGAAGGAGTTGGGAGGGTGAGTGGAGGAGGAGGAGGCAAGAAGCCATATATTCACCTTCTCTCCTTTTCTAGTACCTTAAGACCCCACCTTCTAGGCCTTTTTTGGCAAGACTCAGGTGTTCTGTCTGGAATAATGGAGGGAGAAAGAGCAGCATGGGTGTTCCTGGGGTGGGTAAAAGGGCCTGCTCCCCTGATGAGTAGCACAGCCAATAAATTTGAGTCTCGATACTGGACTGGACGGGGCAATGTGACCACAGGGGAGTCCTAGTAAAAGCAGCAGGTGTGAGAATTGACTGCAGTTAAAATAGCCCTTTTTTGCACATCACACAAGAGATATAAAGGGAGTTGGAACTGCATTTTAGTTCTTACCTAGAAGTTTGTGCCATTTCCTCCCCATACTGAAGGCCTCACACCTTCTTTCTCCTCCCGCCCTGCTCCCCTTCACACTGCCTCCCCTCTACCCCTACCTTTACCAGCCTGGGTTTGGGCCCACCCTGTCCACTCACCCAGCTGGCAGCTGTCCCCACAACACAATGGGGCCCCTTTTTTCTTTTCCCTACCTCAAACGTTAGATAAACCCAAATAACCTCTCAGCAAAAATCAAGAAATCAAAGATGTAATTCCAATTTTTAAAAAATTTCTAGTTTTTTTTTTTCCAAATAACATGCCAATTTTTTTTATTTTTATTTCCAAATAACTCTAGATTCATAGGAGTTTGGAAGAGTAGCCTAGAGAGGTCCTGTGCACCCTTCCCCCAGTCTCCGTAATAGCCCTGTTTCAAATGATTGCAGTGTCCTGTCATATGGGCAGTCTGTCCTGACACAATCCAAACTCCATTCAGATTGCACCAGTTTTACAGTAATTTATTTTTTAAACTGTTTTTCTTAATTGGTAACATAATCTAACCATATTACAGAACACTTGGAAAATAAAGGGGAGAAAAAATCCCCCTTGGTTCTACTATACTGCTTACCACTGTATGCATTTTAGTGTTCATTTCCTTCTGGTCTTTTGTGTACTTTTAGCGTAATGGAAAGCATCATTTATATGTAGTATTAGAACCTTTTATTAAATGTTTTAAAGAAGCATTTTTCTTCATAACCCAAGTCTTTATCATTGTAAATGACCAGTTAATATTTCAAATGAACATGCCATATCTCACTTAATTATTCCTCTATTACCAGACACTCAGATTATTCCAGTTTTACTGTATAACAATTTTGTAACAAACAACTTTGTTTATATAATATTTTCCATATTTGGAGTACTTTCACTAGGATTTACACCCAAGGATGTGAACATTTTTATGACTCCTGATATAAAACACCAGATTACTTCCCAGAGTAATTAGAAATGACTTGGCTTCCTGTGGCACTAACATTTTTGACTCCTGCTGGCAGTGGGTGGATCATTGCTTTAATGGTCATGTAATAGTTGAAAGATGATATCTGTTTTGTGAAGTTGTAGTTTCCAATAACTTGTAAAGTTGATCATTTTTTTCATCATTTATGAACTGGTGATCTTTTCTGTTTATGACTTAGCTATTTGATTTCTTTGCTCAACACAATGTACTGTTTTACTTTTTGATTTGTAAGAGCTGCTTATCTAATGAAAACCTCAACATTTCATCTGTTAAATATGTGCAAATATTTCTTCCCGGCTTGTTGTTTACCTGTAGTTTGGGTTTGTCTCTAATATATAAGTGGAAATGTTACTTTTTTATGAAACCAAATCTGCTAATTTTTTTTCCTTCTCACTTTCAAAACTCAGTCTTCCCAGAGATGTGATTAATACTGTATTCAACTGTTTTCTTCTCTTTTCCATGGTCTGATTTATTTTTTTACTTTATACTGTCAAGTGGTATAATATGCAAGCCCATGGGAAATTTTCCCCCAATTTCTTTTTATCTGAATAATCTGTGTCATGATCCTTACTCATTTATTTGCAAAGCCTTTGATTATGACAGATTAATTTATTACACGCAGGAACTTCTACTTCTAGATCAGCTCACAAGTACACAGTGTCTCCAGCCCTTTCTCCTCTTTCTTTCCACCAGATTATGACGAACACGGGAAAGACGAGGCGGAAGGGCCTGGTCGGTGTGCAGCAGAGTGCCCACGAGCCCCTGCGCCGGCCCGTCACCCCCGGCGGCCACAGGACCGCAGTGTAAGTCCGGGCTAACGGAGGTGGGGATATCTATGCTTAAGCTTTGTTTTAACTGCAGTATAAGATGTGTGTATTTAAAAACTCAAAATAAAACGTTCACACTGAAAAGCATTTACCTCTTCATTGTTTATCTCTTGGGGATTTTTTTGCCGGGAAAGAAGTTGTCTTCTTCATCCTGGCTTTCTTCCAAAAAAAAGAAGTGGTTGGCCTTCAGGATCTCCAGGCACTTCCAGCCTTCGCCCAGAAGAAGCCAACTATTGGCCAATGTAATTTCAAAGGAAAGGACCAGAAAGAGCAGTGTGTCCACTCAGACAGGACTCTGGTTGCTTTTGTTCTGTGCCCCTACCCACCCCCACCATTGTACCAGGACTTATGTTGGAGTGGGGGGGTCACAGGTCAAGGCACCAAATCAACTTACTTTTAAAAGCAAGTCTGTGCATGTTTAGCAGCCTAGCTTTCTTCATAGCCTTACTCCTACCCCACTTACAGGAACAAAACTTTACTGTGGTTACCCAGAACCTCTGATCGACCTGGGGGGCTGGCGGCCTATGCCCCTGTGGACTCTCAGGGGCCCCAGGCCAGGCAGCCCAGCTGTCAAGAGAAAATTGCAGAGAGAAACAGGTACGAGCCAGAGGTTTATAGAAAGCAGGAGAAAAACCTATGTTTATTCATTCAACAAATATTGGCCATAAAATACTTGAAATGAGCGGGACGTATTTTATTTAGTTAACCCACATAGCTGAGCAGTTCGCTTGTTTCCAGTTTTACTCTATAGCAATTTGTAATGAATAACCAGGTGCCTGGGATACAGCCATAAACCAAACACGGAAACGCCTGCCCTCGCGTTGCTCCATGTGTGACTGTTGGGGATGCTGAGCCAGCACTTGGCACCCAGATCCTGCCAAGTGCTCTTGCCCACATGGGACTTGACCTATGAGGATTTCCAGGTCCACACCATGGATTGGTGCTCTCTTAGATTTTATTTCAAAATGAGATACCACGTGCTTCATATTTCAAGGTTCTTAATTTAAAATACCAATACGCATTTTTAAAAAGATTTTATTTATTTTTTCATGAGAGACACAGAGAGAGAGGCAGAGACACAGGCAGAGGGAGAAGCAGGCTCCATGCAGGGAGCCCAGTGTGGGACTTGATCCCAGAACTCTGGGATCACGCCCTGAGCCAAAGGCAGATGCTCAATGGCTGAGCCACCCAGACGTCCCACCAATAAGCATTTATTGCTTAAACTCACTACTGGTATTTTTTTGTAAAGATTTTATTTATTTATTTGTTTGTGAAAGACACAGAGAGAGGCAGAGACATAGGCAGAGAGAGAAGCAGGTTCCCTGCGGGGACCCTGATGCCGGACTCAATCCTAGGATCCCAGGATCACTACCAGAGCCAAAGACAGACGCCAACCACTGGGCCACCCAGATGCCCCTCACTACCAGTACTTTTAACTTAGCTTCCAGCTATTAACATTTTGCCACCTTTGCCTCCTCTCTCGGTCTCCTTCTATGTGCATAATATATGATTTACACACATTTACTTTCTTTGTTGGACTGTTTGAAAGAAGGTTGCAGGCTTGCAACAGGTATCCCCTGCGTAAGAACATCCTGTACTTAACCACATTATCACACCTCAGAAAGTTAACATTCTCGTAATATTATAAAGTATATCAGTATTCCCATAATTGCCCCCAAAATGTCATTTATATCAGGTTTTGTGTTTACTTGTTTGATCTAGAATATAGCCAAGTGTTAACTACTAGTAATTCTAGTTTATAAATACATCTTTTTAGGGGCACCTGGGTGGCTCAGTCAGTTGAGCGTCTGCTTCTGGCTCAGCTCATGATCTAGGGGTCCTGAGATGGAGTCCTGCATCAGGCTCTCTGCTCAGCAGGGGCCCTGCTTCTCTCTCTCTCTCTCTCTCTCTCTCTCTCTCTCTCTCTCTCTCTCTCTCTAATAAATAAATAAATAAAATGTTTAAAAAACAAGATTATCTTTTAAAGTTATTGAAACCCAGAGAGGCAACAATGGCATAAGGATATTTAGTTAGAAATAATAAAAGGAATCTTTTTTTTAATTATATATTTTTTTAAGATTTATTTATTTACTCATGAGAGATACAGAGAGAGGCAGAGAAGCAGGCTCCATGCAGGGAGCCTGACGTGGGACTTGATCCCGGGTCTCCAGGATTACGCCCTGGGCCAAAGACGGTGCTAAAACCGCTGAGCCACCCGGGCTGCCCTGGATAAAAGGAATCTAATAAATATAAGATCTAACCACTTGGCTCCATTAATTCTGGGGTCAGGTGTTCTACCTTGTGGAGAGGAAGAAGAGGACATCTTTCCATGCCTGGGGAGCATGGTGATGGTCCCCTGACTCGTGGGACCAGCCCCTGCAAGGAGTGAGAGGATTTCACTGCCCTGACTATGGACCGTCCCACACTGGTGAAACAATTGCTCATCACCAACTGCCTCCCCTGGGCCAATTCTACAAACATATCACTCCTGGGTGCCAGATGGTGTGCTAATTGCCAGGGAAACCAGAATAAATGAGATGTGATTCCTGTCCCCAGCCGCCTTGCGGGGGAGAGAAATGATTGATGGACTGTGGTCAATGGACTGTGGTGGACGCAGCGTGCTCCCCATGGTTGGCAGAAAGGTAACTTTCAAGGATCTTTATTTAGCCTCTTTAAAAAGTTTCTGTGACACCATGAAGCCAACTGGCGCTGATAACCTAGCGTCACCAGGAGTGCGAATCAAGAATCCCGGTGATCTTGGAGACACTGACAGTATGCACTGCACGCGTTCGAGGTACCAGTACTCCTGGAGTCAGTAATCACATTTCTGGGGTTATATGCCGAGAAGTAATCAGATATTCACAGATACATGTACAAGGGTATTTATTGCAGTATTCATTAGAAATAATCTAAATGGGGGCACCTGGGTGACTCAGTTGGTTAAGCATCTTACTCTTGATTTCAGTGTAGGTCATGATCTCAGGGTCGTGAGATCGAGTCCTGTGTCAGGCTCTGCACTTAGCAAGGAGTCTGCTTTACATTCTCTTTCTCTCTCTTTCCCTCTGCCCCTCTCTCAAAAAATAAAGAAAAAGTTATTCATTTAAAAAAAGAAAGAATCTACCCAAAGTAGGAGACTGTTTACATAATTATACATTCACACAAAACAGTACTGAAAGTGATGTTTTAGAATATATATAAGACTAGGGGAGAACCTCTATATATTAAGTGAAAAAGCAAATTATAAAACAGGATAGATCTAGCCTGCTGGCCACTCACAGTGATCCCAAGTTTATTTATTTATTTTTTAAAGATTTTATTTATTTATTCATGAGAGATGAATAAATCTCAGAGAGAGAGAGAGAGAGAGGCAGAGACACAGGCAGAGGGAGAAGCAGGCTCCATAGAGGGAGCCCGACATGGGACTCGATCCTGGGACCCCGGGATCACACCCTGGGCTGAAGGCAGATGCTAAACCGCTAAGCCACCCGGGCTGCCCCCAAGTTTATTTTTTAAAGTATATATTTGCATTTTTCAAAAGTGAAAAGATATCAGATGTTAATGATAGTCATCGTATCTAGGCATTGGGAGGGCAGGACATCCTTTATAGTCTGTATTTTCCTACTTTTTCATGATAAACACTGGTTTTTTTAATCAAGAAAAGAAAGGTTGAAAATAAAATGACAGTCACCCTGCACAACTCCGGGTTGTGCCCTCCGTCACCCCAGCCCTCCCTCGGCCTGTTTCCTCCGCATCCTTCCCAGCCTCACCCCTCTGTGGCTTCTGGATCCTTCCCCTGCACTCACTGGCCGCACTTGGCACCATCATTTAACACCCCTTTACCCCGTCGTGTTCCACCTTCGCCACCACCACCCACCCTGACTCCACTTCTCTCCTTTCCCGGGCCTCCTGACAGACCCCCAGATCCCCAGGCCGTCTCCCCGGCTGCCCGGCCCCGGCCCCGTCCTCTGCGACCCCCGTGGTCCAGCCGTGACTTCAGGTCACCCATGACCTCGCAGTTTCCAACCCTAGAGCACCCTCAGCGTCTGGTTGCCCCTGCTAACCACCCTCCTGGTCACCCCGCCCCCACGTCCTGCTGCCGTGTGGGCTTGGTCCCCAACTCGCCCCTCTTCTCAAATGCCCCCATCTCTGGTCCCCCCCATCCTGCATGTCCTCGGGCTTCCCTACACACTGCAGACGCCCAAATCTCAGCCCTGAGCATGAGGGGCTCCCCACAGCACCCCGTGTCAGCACTTCCTAGGTGAGCACCAGTGTCTCCCAAGCCCCCGGCCTTGGGGAGTGGCATTTACACCCCCCAAGGCTCGAGCCAGAATCCCAACTCGTGGCCGAGCCCCCTCCTCCCTCTGCTCTCCCCACCCCGGGCCCTGCCCTCTGCCCCCCGAGCCATCTCTTCTCCCCACTGTCCCCCTGCCACAGTCCACCCTCTACCACCCTAGAAGGATGTTTCTAGCACATCATCACGGAATGTCATTTCTGCAGCTATTTCCCTTAGGGGTCAAATCTAATCAAACCCTGGCTGACAAGGTCCTTCTCAGTGGACCGCCCACCACCACCACCTCGAGTCTCAAAGCTCCCCTGGACACCCTGTCCCCTTCCCTTCCAGTCCACAATTTTTGTGACGCCTTAAATCCTTCTGTGATGCATGCAACATAAGTATATACCTTTTTTTCCCCCTTTTGCCTCTCCATCTGCCTTGCTGTTACCTCTGTTGGAAAATTCTCCCTCTTTGGCCCAGGCAGGCCTAGTTCAGGGTTCAGGACTAGCCGGATGCCCCCCCCACCACACACACACACAGCCTTCCCGGCCCTTCAGGGAGGCTCAGTGTCTCTGTCTTTGCCCCTGGGCCCAACCCTCAAGAACAGCCATCTCACAGGCCCCCGCGAGCGCCACATCCTTGCGTGGCGTGTCCCACCAAGCCCTTGCTGGGCAGGCAGCAGGTCTCCTTGGCGAAGGGAAGCAAGTGCTGTGTTGCCGGGCCACCTGGAGACCCTTCCTCGGGGCTGTCGTCCGGCCTGAACCGCCTCCATCCGGCCTCCTCCCGGTGCCTTGCTGCCCGGAGCCCCTGTGTCCGGCACCTGCCCGGGGCTCTGACACCTTGGGGTGCCCAGTGCGAGTCTGCTGGGCCATTGGGGCCCACCAGCCCCTCCTCGGCCCACACCCGGCCGGCTCTTGCCACCGCCCTGATGGCACGACTGCATTCACCCCTTCGTTAATCTGCTCCACCCTCTGAGGGGAAGGCCAGGAGATGGGTCCCTTAAATTTAACATTTGGTTGAAATGTCATGCTTCCCTGTCCCCCGAGGCCCAGAAGACATCACTGTGTGTTAGAAGGCTGCGAAGCCATGTATCACTGTGAATCTGTAGCAGCTAACAGAGTACGTTCTAGTTTCTGCCAACACCCTTAAAAAGGTTTAATATCTGCAAATACCAGCTTAACAAAAGAATTTCAGGTACTTCCACTTCCCATATTTGTGATGCTACGTGGTAGTCAGCAAATACCTCCTGGCCATCTGCATTTATTGCTGTTTTGGGTTTTTTCCTCCAGCCTGGAAGACCACCCCATCTCTCCCCAGATGGCCCAACATGCCAGGAAGGGCAGCGTCCCGTCGCTGATGAGCACCCACCCTCCCGGGTACAAGGGCGGGGAGCCCAGCGCCTCAGAGCCTTGCGCCTCCTGTTCAGGTAAGAAGGCTGGCCGCACGGGGGCCGGAGGCCCTGGGGCTGGCGATGCCTAGAATCTAAGGAAGCCACAGCATGAGAGCCCCAGAAAGGCCTCGGCCTCACCCCTGAGCCCCACCATGGCCCTGCGTCACGGGGGCGCACAGGCCTGCAGCCACAGGGCCGCACCACCTGAGCACAGGCTTCTCCTCTAAGGCTCCTCCCAGAGCACTGCGTGCACCGCTCACGTCCACAAGCCAGTCGGGCAAGATTTCTGCTGGCAGGAATCTGCGTTTATTGGGCAATTTCAAAGTAGTCGTCTCAGAAGGATGTAAATTTATGACCAAGACTTTGGCGCCCCAAACTCTGGTGCCGAGGCGGTCAACCACCTGTTCGAAGGCTGGTCTGAGCCAGAAATGTGCCGATAGAAGCAGAAAGGGCCACCAGAGCCAAGGCATTCAGAAACATCTAGTCGGGTTCACCGGAGACGGACGGGGGAGAAAAGGATTTTTTAGATGCCAGAAAAAAAATATATATGCTTTGAATCAGAAATGTCCAAAGTTGTTTTCTTTTTTTTAATTTGCAAGAGGAAATTAAAAGGATATGAGCAAGCCAGATAAGACTGTAATATCCATTCAGAGAAGAAAAACAACAGAGGAGCAGGTCAGATTCCAGTATGAGAAACATCTGAGAACTTTTATAATCTGTTCACAATTGGATGCCAATGTTTCCAAGCCCCGGTTTCAAAGCAGTAGGCTGGTCACGGAGCCAGAGGAAAGCCAGGTTGTTTGAGAGTCTGGGGGAGGGTCTCCTGGTGATGCACAGCTTTAGGGGTCCTGCCAGCTGGGATCGTGTGTTATTTTACATGTGTTATTGGAGCTGTAAACATGAATATGCCTTCACTAAAAGGTGATTAGCTCCAGCATTTGTCCAGGCACAACCCGGAGTTGTGCAGGGTGACTGTCATTTTATTTTCAACCTTTCTTTTCTTGATTAAAAAAACCAGTGTTTATCATGAAAAAGTAGGAAATTTTGTTCTTTTGCTGCCAGGGTGGAGGTTGTAGGTGGTCTGACCAGTTTTGCCAATTTGACCTAATGCCATTGAGTTAAAAATTATTTCAAGCTCTAGAGGTCTGGACTTCCAAAACGTGGCATTTAGGGTAATTTATTTATCAGGAACAACCTTGCTTGGCCAAAGTGCCCACCAGGGTGGCCCTCTGTCTTGTGCTGGTTATCAGTACGGTCCTCCTCTAGTTTGGAAAGATTTAGCATGTGTCACCTCTAGGATGGAGGCATTTGAGGTTGCTATTGATGGAGTAGCTGCATGCAGCTGATATTCCTAGAGATGTTGATGTCCCTGTGATTTTTGAGAACAAAGTCGAGGCCCTGGCAAATCCTGGCTCCTCGCATGACAACAGCGGGCAGCCACCAGGGGACCCAGGGTGGGTGAGCAGTAGGAGTCCCTAAATGCAGTCCCTGGAGCCAGGGCAGCCACTTGGCCTAGGCCATACTGCCAGGTATACCCCTTTAGCCCTCAACACTGAGACCATGTTCCACTTGTCCCCTCCTCTGACCTGCACGTCTCAGCTTAGGCCTGCCTGGAGCCCAGGACCCCCACCTGGCCCATCAACTCCCCATCTGCCTCATTGGGCTCCAGAACTAACTGCTCTCACTCCACAGGCCAGAAACCAGCCATAGGAACTACTCTCCCCTGCCCTGCCCTGCCCAGCCTGCTCTCAGCCTCAGGGCAGCACTCCTACTTCTCCCTTATAATCCTTGACTAAGGGCCTCCTATTGGAGAAGCCAACCCTCTGGGTTAGTGGCTCCCCCTCCATCACTCAGGGAGACTGTAGGTAACATTCCTGGTACAGATTCTGTTCTTCCTTCTACCCTCTTTTAGGCTTGCCCAGCTGCAGCCACCCCAGGACCCATGTCCCTGGACCAGTGTCAGCTCCCCCAGCTGGTCTCATCGCCGCCATCAATCCCTCTTCTGACCCAGCCTCTGCGTGAGGATGGATAGCAAGTAGGCTTGGGCTTATGTGCTCAGAATGCACATAACCAGTATTGAGGCTAGTTCTGAGGCTGCATCTGGGTTTGGCAGGTATAAGAGGGCCCGAGAGGAAGAGGACAGTGGTGGGCCAGGTAGTCAGTCTCCTTGTCTTCTTTTTTTTTTTTTTTTTTAAGATTTGATTTATTTACTTGACAAAGAGCGCACACAAGAAGGGGGGAGCAGCAGAGGAAGAGGGAGAAGCAAGCTCCCTGCTGAGCAGGGAGCCCAATGTGGGGCTCCTGGGATCCTGACCTGAGTCGAAGGCAGATACTTAACCAACTGAGCCACCCAGGCACCTGGCCTCATGGTCTTATTCCTTCCCTTCCAGAAGCCTGACCTGACTTCCTCTGGACCCCTCTGTCCGTACAGTCCTGCTTCTGCAGCCCCCTCTCCTGCCTCTGTGCTCCTGCCCACCTGGCCCCCATCCCAGGCCGGCCTCACGAAGCTACTCCTCTGAGGCCCCTCATGCATGATTTTCGGCTGAGTCTGGCCCCCTGGCCTCACTCATGCCGGGAACTCATGCCCACTACAGACCCAGTGGGAACCCACCACTGCAACCCCAGCGTCTTTGCTCAGAAAGCTCTTCACACCTCTGCATTCGGTCAAGAGCAAAGGGGAAATCTTGTGGTGAGGAAGCTGGGATCCTCCAACTGCTTGATCAGTTGACCGCAGGCCCAGATGGTACATTCTTCTTAAGCAGAGGGCCTGGGCCCCACAGAGCCAAAAGGAAATAGTTCCCGAAGGAAAAAGCCAAGAATGTGCCTTAGAATTTTGTAAGACATGGGCCTAAGGAAAGTTATTCCCATTCCCCCATCAAACCAGGGCTATCTCGGACATCAAAGTCATGTACTTTGTCAGTGGCCTGGAGTGCAAATGCCTGGTCCTGTCAGAAATGGATCCACAAGGGCACCTGGGTGGCTCAGAGGTTAGGCGTCTGCTCAGGTCACGATCCTGGGGTCCCGGGATCAAATCCCGCATCGGGCTCCCTGCATGGAGCCTGCTTCTCCCTCTGCCTGTGTCTCTGCCTCTCTCTCTGTGTGTCTCATGAGTAAATAAATAAAATCTTTAAAAAAAAAAAAAAACGAAATGGATCCACAAGCAAGGAAACAGTCCTTGGGCTCAGGGAGCACCTGGAGTGTGCACTGTTCTCAGCTTTCAGTGGGCCTGTCTTTCTGTGGTGGGAGCTCAGAAAACCTACACCGTGACGTTCAGCGGAGGAAGTGGGAAGGGGCATGGGGAGGGGGCTGCTACTTGGTGACAGGACCAGAAAGCCTCAGAGGGTCTCAGGAGAGCACAGCAGAGTTCCTCCCCTCCGGCCAGGGGGCTTTCCCACCACCCCTGACCTGTCCCGCCATCCCCCCCACCCCCGAGGAAGCTCCTGATCTGGAAGGATTGCCTTCCCCTGGGCACCATTCACCGGAATGGGGCTTTCTCTGTGTGTAGCCCAGCACACAACTGTTATTTCCGTCATGCACCCACATTCTATCTCCTGGGCCTTACGAGAAGCCCGTTGAGCGGAGAGCACAGACAAGCAGGCCAGTCGTCCACCGAGAACGGGTCAGAGGAGACTGAATTTCCAGGTCTAGTCCCAGCACCACATGGAGAGCATCTGGTGTGGACCATAAATAAAGGCATCCGTTGGGTTCCATGCCAGAAACAGATTCCCTGTTTGGGTCAAAAGAAGTCAGAGGAAGTCAAAGCTGCAGCCCTCGCTGTGGGTTTGAAGACACGGGCAAAGAAGAACGTTTATATTTAAGATAAAGCAGAGGGCACGTTGCAAAGGCACCAGGGAGGTTTTTAAATGTTGCTGGAAGGAGGGGCGCCTGGGTGGTTGGGCGTCTGCCTTTGGCCCAGGGTGTGATCCTGGGGTCCCGGGATCAAGTCCCATGTTGGGCTCCCTGCATGGAGCCTGCTTCTCCCTCTGCCTGTGTCTCTGCCTCTCTCTCTGTGTCTCTCAGGAATAAATAAATAAAATCTTAAAGAAAAAAAGAGCTGGAAGGAGCTTGGCTTAAGAAAGCAGCAGATCCTGACTCTGTCACAGGATTGCTCTGACGGTGGCATGGACCTCTTGGCTGTAGAAGAGGAAGAGAAGTGGGGTCAGAGAAGGAGGGGGCCATGTCATTTGAAGCACAGAATAGGCTGTCAGGAGAGCTCGCTGGCAGTGTCATTGGAACTGTCACTTCTCTTTGAAGGTCCTCGGGATGACACAGGTGTCCTGGGCCTTGACCACGATGTCAGCACAAGTACTGCTGGTTGGGAGCTAGGGCAGCGCTACCCCCGTGGGTGGATTGACAGATTCAGGTCTGAAGGGTCTGGGACAGCTCAGTGGGGAGAGAGCCCCACATCTGGGGTTGCTGGATTTGACAAGTAAAAATACAGGACACTCAGGGGCACCTGGGTGGCTCAGTCGGTTAAGCATCGACTCTTGATCTCAGCTCAGGTCTTGATCTCAGGGTTGTGAGTTCGAGCCCCACGTTGGACATAGAAATGACTTAAATAAATAGAACTTTAAAAATTTTTTTTCTTTAAAAAATACAGGACACCCAGCTGAATTTGAATTTCAGATGAACAACTAGTAGTTTTTCAGTGTGCCTCGTGCTCCTGATCAGTGGTGCCAGGCAGTGGCCCAGGGAGACAATTCCACATTTGCTGGCTTTTCCTTGAGAGGCAGGGGGAGGCCAGAAGCAACAGGGCTGAAGGTCTGTGCTTCTCTGTGCCGTGTGTGTTCTGGCCAGAGTGCTCACGCTGCGGCCGCGGTCTAAGTACACCAAGCAGCCGCCTGGAATGTTCTCGGGCTGCTCACGTAAACAGGTCCTCATCCAAAGGCTCCAGGGGGCTGTTGGGGGTGACCCTGGGCTTGTGCTCTCCTTGGCTTTCTGGCCCAGCTCAGTAAGGAGCATCCTCAGAGAGGTTCCAGAGCCAGAGGTGACTGAACTGTCTCTCCTCCCCAGCCACCGCGGACATCAAGCCAGGAGAATGGTGGCCAGCAGGACATCAGGGAGAAGCTCGCCTGCCCTCCGCGGAGGTCCCCAGCCAGGCCCCAGGCAGTGGAGAGCCCGGCAGGTAGGGATGGGGAGGTGTCCTGGGAGGGCCCCTCTCGGTCCAGCCTCTGACTGTGATAGCAGAGGAGCGTGTCACCTGGGCCTGAAGCAGCCCACGAGATCCCCGGGGGAATGTGGCCATGGCACCTGTTAACCTCAGAGCCCAAGGGGAGGGACCTGCCACCTGGGAACCCTCGGTTGTCAGACCGGAAGGAGAAGAAACTTCTAAACGTACCCAGGGGACTCATTTCGAGAACTGTGAGTTGAGCACGTTTGTGAGCCTGGGTGGTTTGGAGTGACCTGTGAACAGTCTTAGCTGCTCCTGTCTCCTGTCTTAGCTGTTTGCTTTTGGACAAGGTGGGATGGAGGGCAGAAGGATGGAGAACGAGATGAGTGGAACGGCTTGGCTCAGATGTCACCTTCCTGAAATAGAAACTGGATCCTGCACAGAAAGAAAGGTCCTTTCTCTTCCTCTGCACCAAATGCGTACAGACGGGCCTCCCATAGGTCACTCGGGGTCCTTTAGAGTCTAGAAAGTCTGGGTGTCTAGGCCCCTTCTTTCAGATCCGAGGAAGTCTGCTCCGGGAGAGGAGCCTAACCCTGGTCTCAGCCCCGACCCGACGGCGGGGCACCCCGGCTGCCACCGCCGCCGCTCCTCCTGACCACGCAGGGCCCTGCAGCCTGAGTCACTTCAAGACGGAGAAGCCAGCCTCCTGGGCTCCCACACTGGCCTAGAGCCGTGTTTAACGTGACCACACCCTTGGAGTCCCTGAACTGGAGGGATTTTGCTATGGTGACTGTGCAGGCCCCCTGTGTCTCCACCTGTGTATAGAATTTTCTATAGACTTAGGAAGTATTGCCACCAACGTGTCTGCCATGAGCAGGCCAGGACCCCAGCCGTGGGGATGGCTGACCTTGGCCCCCTCAGGAGCTCTTTGAGTAGCAGGGTCTTGCAGAGCTGGGGCGGGAGGGGTGCTACATTCAGACCCCTGAGACCTGAAGCCTCCGCCTCCCTGCAGACGTTACCCCTCACGGTGCAGAGGGAGCAGAGGATCCAGCCCATGGCCCCCCCTCCGCTGGCTCAGGGCGGGCTGCCCTCCCACAGGTGGAAGCCACAGAAACAGGAGTTCCTGCTGAGCCCCACGGGCCGAAGGCCTAGCAGAGCCGGCTCCCACAGCGCGTGCAGCAAGGCTGAGAGGGTGCTGCAGTCCCCCCACCCCCACTGGGCAGCACCCCGCCACCTTTCTCACCTGCGCCGCTAGGCAGAGATTGTGGCAGGCACGGGGTAAAAAGACATTTGGGGCTCCCAGGGGCAGCGGCACTGTGTGGGGTCGAGCCAAGGACTTGGGCCTGGACTGGGGTGGGGAGGCCGAGCTTCTGGTCTCCTCTGGCCCAGCCCCTGACCCGCCAGGGACCCAGGGGCCCACCTCCCCCTCCTGGCTGAAGATGTGGCCTGGGTCAGAAGTGCCCGAGGCCCACAGGCTGGTCCAGGGGCCAGGGGATCCCCCGCTCTTGGCACCCTCCTAAAGCGAGGATGCGACATGAAAAGGCTGGGCCCCAGGATCCGGGGGTGCTGCTCCCCGGGCCGGGCCCAGGCACAGTGCACGTCTCAGCCAGGCCACACTGGCCCTCCAGGGCTGGGACCGTTCCTTCTTCCTTCCCGGGAAGGCGGAATTCATTTCTGAGGCTTGCCACCAGGAACAATTGTCTCTCCCCAGGATTAAGTGTGTTCATAGTAGGCAGGGGACCCCACTGGCTCTCCTTAGGAACATCCCCCCGGTTACGCCAAGTGGGGCGAGCCAGGGATCCCCCCCAAGCTCCTGTAGGGCACAAATGTCCCCTTGGGGTTAAGTTCAGGGGACTGTCGCCTTAATGTCAGTCACGTGCATTAATCTCTTAAGTCTGGGAGAAGCAGGGGCGAGGGCTGGGGGGGTTCTGTTTGAGGAGGAGGAGGAAGGAATGAGGGAGAAGTAGACAGTTGGTCCCCCCCCCCGGCTCTTGGCTCCCCCACCGGCTGTGTGACCGCTGCCAGTGACACTGTCCCCCTGCCCCCGGCCTGCTCTTCACGGCTGCCCCACGTCTCAGCCAAGCACCCCTTCCCCCGCCCCCCACCCCAAGGGCCCATTGCACGGGGGCGCAGAGCGCCGGGGTCCCTGGATCTGGGCCCAGCTCCCATTGTCCTGAGGGACCAGGGCCAGTGGCTCAGCCGGCGGTGTCCGTGTCCCTCCCTGGCCCCGTGCAGGCTCTCGAAGTCGCTGGTGGATGACCCGGGAGAAGGGGAGAGACAGTGGCTCCACGATGACTCAGGCCTGGGGAACATTCGTCCCTCGGCTCGCCCCAGCTCCTGTCTCTCCCTCTCCCTCTGTCTCCGTCCCTAGAGGACAGCCCCTGCCCCAGAAGACTGCCGGGTGGGCGCCGCCTGACTGCTGGCTTCCCATGGAAGGCTCTGGAGCGGCGGGTCTGGGGAAACGGTAGACCCAGCGATACTCTCATCGCTTGACCCCAGCTAGGAGGTGCCTCAAAGATAGCGAGGCTCCAGCGCAGCTGCACCCGCTTCCAACCGCCGCCTGGCTGTGCAGCTGCCTCCCTGGAAGCCACGAGAAAAAGCTTCAGACCCCGAAGTCCCCCCCGCACCCCCAAGTGTTCCTGTTCTCTTTTCTCTCTGCTCCTTAGAGTCCTTGGCTTCAGGAGCGGGGTGGCGGGGCGGGGGGAGCACACCGTTAACCCGCCGGCCCATCTGCTGGACGGTGCCCCCCGGGCCGAGGACCCCGGGGAGTGGGCTCCTGGGGTCAGTGCCTTGCCCCTGCGCACACCCGCCAGGCCCAGGCCAGATCAGATCGGAAGCAGTGTCGGGGCACCTGTCCCACCGCAGACAGGGTATGACTCTTTGGCAAGTCTCATGGCTTTTAGAAAGTGAAGAAGAGAGAGCGTTTACATCCGTCTCCATGGGCGCTTTATCCCCCTCACATCTGTCCCCAAGGGACACGTGACAGCGCCTGATGACACATAGGTGCCTCCAGCTCAAAGTAACTAGACACTAAGAACAAGGACGTCAGGGGAATGAGGCCAGGAGCCCTGCGTGTCCCTGTGCGCACGAGCACACGCACACACACACACACTCGCGTGCACGGTTGACAATCTGTGCATTTGCCTGCGTCCCGTGTGTGGTCACCCCACGCCTCGCCCCCTCTGCACTGTTAGGGCGCAGGTGCAACCTCCGTGGTGGTGCCCGAGAGCCCGTGGCGGGCCCTGAGGAGCGGAGACCGCTGAGGGGGATCGGACCTTCGTGCCCACAGCGACGCGGGGTCCTCGGCCCCCGGGAAGGCGCCGCTGTGAGATTATGACTCAGCAGCATTCCAAACACGAGCAAAGATTAAATATCGCCAGGAGCCTTTGCTGGCTCTCCCCTCCCGCACAATGCTCCCATTGATGAGCCCGGATCACCTCCGTGGGCAGGCCCCGGGAATGGATAATTGTCCATCTCGCGGGCCACCCCCCACTCTCCACGTAGTGAAGTTTGCCCAGGGCTCGGCACCACGCTGCCCGTGGCGGTTTACGCTCCCGCAGTCACAGGTCGCTGCGTCCTGACTCTCCTGCCCACGCACTTCTCCTGCCCTGCCCTAATCTGGCCTCATCACCATTTCTTGGCCCCGGCTCCCCGCTGCTCAGACTGCTGGGCTCCCCACTCGAGGGTCCTGGAGGCCGCGCTGAGCCTCCACCTCTGCCTCCCACGGTGTCCCTCCCCCGCAGGGCCTTGAAGCCATCCCCCTCGCAGAGGTCAGTGACAGCGGCCAGCATCCTCAGTCAACACCACCACCTCCCGCAGCAGCGCCCAGTGTGGTTGGGGCCCGGCCAAGCCAAGCGATGGCTCTTTGGTGCCCTGCCAAGGGCGGCCTTCTCCAGTGCCGGAGGAGGGGCCGGAGGGGCCCCCTTGTCTGAGGATGCTCTTCTCACCAGCAACCACACTGCTGTGGGCAAACAAGTGCCCTTTGGCCTCGTGCCCTGGGGCAAAGAGGAGGCTAGTGTAAGGCCTGTTAGGGTTCTCCAGAGAAAGAGAACCAACGGGAGGGGAGGTGGGGATGGGCAGGAGGGGTTATTTTAAGGATTTGGCTCACGTGATTGCAGAGGCTGGGTGAGGGTACCCCTACAGGGTAGCCCAGCAGGCCAGAGCCCCAGGGGAGAGTTGCGGTTGGAGTCCAAAGGCCGTCTGCTGGCACAGTTCCTTCCTGCTCAGAGATCAATCTTTGTCTGCTTGTGCCTTCAACTGACTGGACGAGGCCCACCCAGGCTATAGAGGGCAATCTACTTTGCTCAAAATCCACCTATTTAAGTGTTAATCTCATCCAAAAAAAAAACACCACAGAAATATCCAGAATAATGTTTGACCAAATATTTAGGCATCCAGTAAAGATACATAAAATGAACACACACCTAAGAGTTTTCATACCCATTAACAAATTGCTCTCCAAAAGGACGGGGCCCTTTTCTGGTTGCACTGGGGTTGGGGGATTACAGATTCCTGGCCCTGGGACCCAGACCTTTTCTCCCTTCACTCCTCGCCAACTCAGCTCAGCGTCCCCGATCCCCAAAACCTCATCTTGCTGCTTTGGCTTTAAGGTCCCCTTCAGCAAAGCAGGCCTGCCATCCTGGCCTCCCTGTCCTGCGACCGCGTGATGGACATCCCCGGGTAACCCAGGAAGACCTGCCCGTGTTCTCCGAGTAGTTTGCACTAGTTTCTCTTGGTTGTGCCTTCTTAAAATGTAGTAGGGCTACATTTTAAATGGTCAAGATGATAATTTTTTTTCTCTTGGAATTACTTTTTAAAATTTAAATTCAATTAATTAACATACAATGTGTTATTAGTTTCAGAGGTAGAGGTCAGTGGTTCATCAGTCTTATATAACACCCAGTGCTCATGGCATCGCGTGCCCTCCTTTATGTCCATCCCCCAGTAATCCCATCGCCCCACCCACCTCCCCTCCAGTGACCCTCAGTTCATTTTCTATGGTTAAGAGTCTCTTGTGGTTTGTCTCCATCTCTGATTTTCTCTTGTTTTATTTCTCCCTCCCTTCCCTAGGTTCCTCTGTTTTGTCTCATAAATTCCACATATGAGTGAGATCATATGATAATTGTCTTCCTCTAACTCATTTCACTTAGCATAATACCCTCTAGTTCCATCCACGTCATTGCAAATGGCAAGACTTCATTTTTTGATGCTAAGTGGTATTCCATTATGTGGGTGTGTGTATATATATATATATATATATATATATATATCACAGATGGTCATTTTTATATCTATTTTACCACAATTTAAAAATAATCAATGCTATAACAATAATCAATCAATCCATCAAAGATTTCTTGCCTAAAGTATGGGTAGTTTTTATGCCAGTCTTCTCTTAAATTTGAATTTGAAAATTTTTCCGGTGTTTTTTATTTTTCTAAAGATTAAAGTATTCTCACTGTAAAAAAAAGAAAGAAAAAGAAAGAGGGGCCTATGGGAATATAGAAGTGAATCAAATAAATTCTAGTTTCCTCCCAAGTCCCACTCCCCAGAACCAGAACCCCCATTTATGGGGCCCACAATTGACCTCAGGGCACAGCCTCCCTTGCAGAATCATCACAGCTGTCCTGTAGATATTTTACAGGTGGGGAAACTGAGGTTTCTCCATTGTCAGCAAACTTGCTTACCTTCAATCACCTGCAGCAGAGCAGGACGGAGGGTCTGGGCCCTTCCAGGGAGCATACCCCCCTGGCCTCCCCAACCCCTACCTGCCTATGCTCCCACCCCCGTGTGCACAGGTACATGCACACTCTCCCCATTGTTCATCAAGGGGAGCCTCACTTTCCAAGCTCACATAGTGTTTGCTGTGCACCGACCATGTGAAGCCCACAGGCCAAGACACCCACTCAGGAAAGGGAAGACAGATCTGCCACGTACAGAGCATGTGCCAGGCAGGTAGCTGAGCTGATCTGTATGTTAGCTCATTCAGTGATGATGACAGCCTGGGACTCTGGTCTTCAGAGTTATGGTCAGGAAAATGGGTACACAGGTAGCAAGGACCCCAGAAGTCAAGGTAGGAGCAAGGTGTGTACGTGTACACAGCTCTATGATAGCCAGAGAGCAAAGAGCTGGGTGGTTTACGGGGGGATCCCCAAACCCAGCAGGGTGGCTGGGAGGTCACAGAGCCTGGCCCCCTCCCAGGATTTTTTTTTTAAGAGTTAATTTATTTATTCATGAGAGACATGGAGAGAGAGGCAGAGTCATAGGCAGAGGGAGAAGCAGGCTGCCTGCGGGGAGCCCGATGCAGGACTCCATCCCAGGACCCCGGGATCACGCCCTGAGCAGAAGGCAGATACTCAACTGAGCCACTCAGGTGCCCCCCACTCCCAGGACTTCTTGTCCAACAGCCCCGAGCTGAGGGTGCTGGCTCCGGGACTCCTCCACCACCTCTCTGTGAGGCTGCTCCCTGGGGCTGTGGTCCAGATGGCATCTGGAGGATGTCTGGCTGTAAGATTCCCCTGGGCTCTAATCTTGGCCTCACAACTTGTTTGTCATGTTTGTGAGCGTGGCAAAGTTCACAAACTTGGGGCCTCAGTTTCTACATCTGAGAAATGGGGTTGTGATGCCTGCCAGACTCTCTGGGCCTTCCCTGGCCACCGCACCTAAAACTAGTGTCCTCTCGCTGCTGCAACAGATTACTGCACATGGAGTGACCCGAACACCACAGATGTGTTAGAACCTTATGGTCCTGTAGGTTAGAAGTCCCACACAGCTCTCACCAGGCTGCAGTCCCAGGGTCCCGGGATCAATCCCCTCGTCGGGCTCCCTGCTCAGTGGAGAGCCTGCTTCTCCCTCTGCCCTCCATCTAGTCATGCTCGCTCTCTCTCTCTCTTGCTCACTCACTCTCTCTCAAATAAATAAATAAGATCTTTTACAAAAATAAAAGGTGCCAGGGAGTAGGATGTGGACAGAATGGGGGGGGAACCATTCCTCTGCCAGCCACACCTCCCTGGGCCATCCTAACACTTCGATATTCCCCCAAGCTCCCTGTCTCCCTTCGCTTCAGCTCCTCCTTAGCATTTATTTCTTTTTTATTCTCTACCTCCTCCCCTGGAGTGTGAGCTCCGTGGGGGCAAGGATGTATGCCTCCAGGTGCCCGGCTCTACCCCAGCCCCACCCGAGCCCAGGAAGGACAGTGCCTGCCCAGAGGGGAAATTCTTTCCTTCCTCCTGCAACTCCTAACCATGCAGTAGCTGTGACCCTAGGTTGCACGTCTTGTTCCAGGGAATTTACATCCGCCTTCACCTGCAAGGCCCGGACCCCCAGCACCCCGGAGATCCTGGACCTGAACCTTCCCAAGGCCAGGGCATCAGCCCTGACCCCTCAGCTCTCTTCATGCGGCCCCCAGCAGGCCAGCCGCCCCAGCTCCATGATGTCCTCCACGAGGGGCCCACAGAGTAAGTCAGACCAGAGGGAAGAACATCGTGCTCTCTGCGCCCAGCGGGCTGCAGGGAAATAGGGAAAAGGCCGCGTCCCCTCCCTGCAGGACCAGAGCCGCGGCCGGTGTCCCCTTCTGCCCTAGAGACCAGTTCTTCACTAATCTTTCTATCTATGCAACTGCCATGGGCCTCAGGGGCTCAGGCACAACCTGGCAGACAGACCAGCCAGGCAGTGCTCAGAGTTAAGATCCCCCCACTTCTGTGGGACTTGTGTGGTGGGCCCTGAAACCTGGCCCTGGCTCCTGGTGGGAGGCAGCGATGCAGGCAGCCTGGAAATCAAGCTGAAGCACATGCCTTGGAGGGGGTGTCACTAGAGGGACGAGGCTGGGGTGGGCCCAAGGTGCCCCCCTCTGCCATTGTGGTCACTGTAAAGACCACTTCCTCCCTCTATCCCCTGCTAGGCTTGGCCAGTTGACCACGCCCCGCCCCTCCCCAGCTGAGCCTGGACCTTTCTAAGGCGGCTTAACTAAAACTAAGGGAGGGACACCTGGCTGGCAAAGTCAGTGGAGCCCGCGACTCTTGATCTCAAGGCTGTAGGTGGGAGCCCCATGTTGGGTGCAGAGATTGCTTAAAAAATAAGATCTTTAAAAATAAATAAACAAAAAATAAAGGGAAGCAGAACAAAAGAATGTCAAGCAATAGAAAACCCGTCCCCTACCAGGATGTCTGCGTTTCTGCGACTCCTGCCCCCTCGCTTCCTGCCAGAGCCCTGGGCGCTCCGGCCAGCCAAGGCCCCGGGGCTGGCATGTGGTTAATGGGCCGAGGCTGGAAGGCGCGCCGGGCCCCGTCACCTCCAGGGCCCATCTGCCGGGTGCGGAGCCCCAGCCCCGTGTCCCCCCAGCAGCGCAGGTCTAGCAGCTTCCTCAGCCGGGCCCACAGGAAACCCCTGCTAACCCCGGGAAGGCCTGGCCGAGGAGAGGGGGGCAGCCCCGCGCGGGGAGAGCTCAGCCTGCAGCAGCCTCGTGTCCTGGGGCCTCGACAAACAACAAAGCTGTTGCCAGCAAAGCTCACGGAGGGCCGCACGCCGAGCGGCCTGCTTCCTGTGAGGGAAGAGCATGGCCACGTGAGCCGTGCCCCGGCCCGGAGCAGGTGACCCGGGAGGGACGGTCCTCTGTGTTCTGTTCGCACGGAGCCAATTGAAAGAAGGGCTTGTATGGGACAGAGGGGACTCTGTGCGGCGCTGCCGCGGGGCTGGCCGCGCGCTCTGGCTTTTTCTTCTCCAGGCAGCCAGTCTCACAGAAAGTGAGGGTGGCTTCGTCGCCAGTGTCCCCATCCCGTTGCCCGAGGACCCGCCAGCTTCCCCGTCTCGGCCCGCCGGCGGCTGCAGGTGACAGATGTGGAAAGACGTGGTCTGCGAGCCGCCAAGTGGCTTCAGGAACCGAGGCGAGGCCCCCGCGATGCAGGCCCCTGTCCCTGCGCCTCCGGCCCTGCGCCTCGCACAGGGGACCGCAGCCGGGTGGCCGGGGCGAGCCCAGGCAGCGGCCCCTCGTCTCGGGAGCCCGTGCGGAGGGGCGGGGGCCCTGGCCTCGCTGGAAACCAGCGCTCGTCTCCGTCCAGCTAGGAGAAGACTGAAGGGATTTAGAATAGCAAGGGAGACTCATTCTCCAGCCATATTCCCGAGCAACAAATTTGATAATTTTGTCCTCTTTTGAAATCTGGTAAGAATATGATATAGTCCCGTATATAGCCTGGAACATACAGCCGTTCCTAATCTTCTGCACACGTGTTTTCTTTAAAACCTCATAGCGTTGACCAGTGTAACACCCCCCGCCCCCCGCCCCCCGCCTTTAGACTATACCCACAATGGTTCCCCTGGCAAAATGACTGGACCCTGCCGGGGAGGACTGTGCTGGCCCCTTGTGGAGGGGTGACACCAGAGCCCATGTCTTAGGACAAAGGTGAGAACTTTGCCTGCCGAGCCAGCAAATGTCACCCAAGCTAGGAGCAAGATCTGACCTCTCCTAAAATATGACTGTGGAAATAAAAGTAATCAATTTTTTTAAATTTTTATTTATGTATTTATTCATGAGAGACAGAGAGAGAGGGAGGCAGAGACACAGACAGAGAAGCAGGCTCCATGCAGGGAGCCCGACGTGGGACTCGATCCCAGGACTCCAGGATCAGGCTCTGGACTGAAGGCGGCGCTAAACCGCTGAGCGACTCGGGCTGCCCAAAGTAATCAATATAGATAGTACGTTGGGGGGGGGTATAAAATCGCGCAGTATACCCCAGGCACGCACTCCATCCGCCCTGGCGATGCCCTTAGTGAAGACGTTTCTGGGGTCCCGCTTGGCCTACACAGAGGATAAGCATCGGCCTCCTCACTCCTCAAGAGAGCGAGCAGAGGAGGCAAACAGAAGGTCAGAGCAGGCAAGTCCCAGGTTATCCCCGAGTTCCCCGTAAACTCGTCACCGGCTGGGGTCCTGCCTTCATTTTGCGAGTTCTTGGCAGTGGCTCGAGCCCGGGCACGTTAGAACTCTGCGACTGCGTGACTGGCCCAGAGGCCGCATCCAGACTCTGGTGCTGTGCGCGCCCCGGCGCTGCTCGGGAGAAGGCTGTGGAGGGCAAGGCTCGCCCGCCTCCTGGGAATGTCCACCTCAGGGACTGTCCAGCTCCCCACGTGGAGGCATTAAGAGGAAACACCGCCGTCAGTCACGAGTACTATAGATAAGGACAGACACGAAAGCAGAGCCTGGGTCCCTGAAATGGGGTCACTGCGGTGAGACCTCGGAAAGTGGCTGCGGATGAACGGTGGGCAGCGTAATGGAAAAATCTCTCCCGTTCTCCCCAGGAAATCCACTCCCCTTCAGATTCCTCAGATGCCGCTGACTGGCACGGCCTTCCCCCTGCCTTGGTGTGGGAGCAGCCCCGTCTCCAGAAATCCAGAAGAGTCATCGGGATCCCCCTCCCCCGGCCTTCTCCACGGTGTAAAGGCAACTGCTGTTTCTCCCTCAGACCCACAGATGAGCTAAAGTCTGGTTTGTAAACGTCTGACAATTTGGGAAAAGAAAAGACAGTCTTTGAGAGATTTGGCCTGTATCCAAATCCGGGAGAAACTGCACTGGAGTCAGCAGGTGCAGCCAGGGCGGGTCTCTGGGGAAAGTAAACACCGTCGGGCCTGGGCACCACGCCCTGGGAGACTCCTCTCACCCCCACACCCGTCCACAACCCGAGCTGCTGGCTGGCAGGAGCCCTGGTGAGATCCCAACAACTTCACAGATATCCCAGCCGTCCGCCGGCCTCCCCCGGGTGGCTGGGGTCGGACTCGAACACGACCTGTGAGGGAAAGAATCCAGGACACGAATAAAGCCAGACGGTCTCAAAGGTCACCTGGACATGTGGTCACACAACTGGCTCCTGGGATGTGCCCATGAAACCCCCCAGGGAGCCACGGTGGAGACGCTGAGGACATCCTGAGGCTGGTAGGCCTTCAGGAAGATTCCTTCTTCCCACGGAAGCTGACCCCAGCGCTCCGGCTGCCCGGCCCCCTAATTTCTCCTGAGTCATACTGGATCTTGTTCCGGTTCATTCGCAGTACGGTGTAAATGTCTGACAACAGCTTAAATCATGACCCTTGGTGGGAATATAATAGACACATAGAGGTTTGGGATCTAATCAGATACCGGGGCTCAATCACTCAGTAGTTTGGGAAGGATTTAGCCCACATCAAAAGCACTAAAATAAAAAACAAATGCACAAATAAGATTAATGCAAAAATTCCGTGACAAAAAAATCAGACTTCTTAATAAAAACAAGCTCTGACCCTGGGGTTCTATGATCATACCCTTGCTTGCTACATCCTGATCCCAGCCCCAATTCCAACAAAACTTTTTTTTTTTTTTTTTTTTACGGAAAAGGGCAGCCAGCTCATAAGCCATAGTTTTCTGATTTTTTTTAATATTGCATTAAAATATTGTTTATCTTGGTTGCTGAGTTTTGGGGTGCCACCTTACGCTTTGTGTGCAAGGTGAACGCCTCACTTGCCTTACCCTTATCCCTGCCGGGACCTGGGGCATCCTCCTGGGCCCTCCCCGGTGCCGGTAGCACAGCCTCGTGGCTGGACGGCGGGCCTTCCTGCCCGCTGGACCACCTTCATCTCTCCAGATACTTTGCGTGGTGCGTTGGGCTAAGGGGTGGTTCACTTTGCACATAACAAACTACCCCCAAACGTAGCGACTTGGAACAAATATTTATTAGCTTTACAGTTAGTGGGTCGGCGATGGGGCGGGGCTCAGACAGGCAGTTCTGTTGGGTTTGGCTGGACCCGGATGCGTGTCTGCAGTCAGAGGGCAGTAAGGGCCTGGGTCCAAGTTCTGGAGGCCTCTCATCCTGCACCAAGCTCACCTGGGCTCCTTCCCCGGTGGTCTCGGCGCCCCAACTTCTCTAAGAGACACGAAGCCCAGGCGCTGCTCGAGTTTCTACCTGCACCGTGTTTCCTCTTCTCCCATCAGCCAAAGCAGGTCACACCACCAAAGCCAAAGTCTGCGTGCAGAGGTGAGGCAGCAGGGAAACCCAACCAACCCGGGGCACGACCCAGACGACGTGCCACGTAGGAGGCATCCAGAACTTACCTCGCGGCTCGGGCCCAGATCTTCCGGGGCTGTTTTTTCCATTTTGATTCAGTTCGGCAAACATCCTGTGGGGCTGCTCTGTGTTGGGATGTGGGGTGTTGTGATTCTGTTGAATTTACATTTGTTCCGGGGGGGCCTCCCACAGCGGAGCAGGTGAAGTAGGGAAGACCGTCACTCACGGGCCCTCACGCCTCGAGAGGCCGCAAGGGGAGCCACGGCAGGCGGCGTGTGAGCAGCTCCCGGGCCGTCTGCCTTTGGTAGGGCTGGTGGGTGGAGTGTTTCTAGGGTCCCTGGGTGAAGGCCGGGCTGGTCAGTCCAAACCAAAAAGAGCAGGGGGCAGGGAGGGGGCAGTGAGCTCCGGGAGGTGAACAGGGGTCTTCTCTAAGGGCCGTTCCAGGTGCCCGAGTGAAGCGAGGGGCAGACGTCCAGGAGGAAGGTCGTGAGGTCGAGAGGAAGTCAGGCCTCACACAACCCACATAGAGTGGCCCCTGGTGAAGGCGACAGTGAGGACCAAGGGTCTGGCTGGGATCTCAGAGGAGAGGACTTGAGAAGTAAGAACCTGTGGGCAGATCGAGGGGTGAGAGAAAGAAGAGGGGCTGGTGCAGGGGACCCTCTGGGAGGAGGACAGGCGACACACGCTCCAGGACCCAGGGAGGAAAGGAGGGCGTGCGGGCAGTCACTGCTGTCAGAGCTGGAGGACACGGGGGAGAGGCTGGCTGCTGAGGCCACCGTCCAGAGAGCTGTACCCCGCAGGTGAGGATTGGAGGTCAGTCTGGTGCCGGGAGAGGCCGTGAAGACCCCGGGGGTCCGTGGGGAACAACCTGGAGGGGGAAGTGGGGGCAAGATGACAGCCCAAGCTCCCAGAGGGGAGGCCGCCGCCAAGGCCACGGGGCAGCGATCTTGAGGGGTGCTGGGGAGCAGGGGTTCCTCTGGGCAGGAGGCGGCGGTGTCCCCGAGCCAGCGTGTGCCCACTCACAAGAGCTGATCCCTAAGTTAAACATAACCATTAACAAACCTTAAATTTATATATAAACTTACAATTAAATAAATTCTATTTTTAAAGGGTAATAAATACTCAAAACATCCCTTCTGAGTTATTTTACTGCGTTGACTATTGCCTATGTCGTGGAGGTTATTTACATGTTGTAGCTCGGTGGGGGAAATAGGACATAATCGTGGCTCCTGGGCCTCTCTTCCCAACTCTATCTTCAGTGATATCATTCTGGTCGCTGGGGACTGGCCGTGCTGGGAATATCTACACCCCAGAAACCAGAAACAGCGCCTCCCAGGGCTTCTCCCCTCCCCCTACCCAGAATGCTGGTGGTTAAGCATTTGCCAGCACACCAATGGCAGGAGCGTGCAGAAAAGTGCAGCCTGAGGCCGAATGTTGGATGGAGGGACGCCTGGGTGGCTCAGCGGTTGAGCATCTGCCTTTGGCCCAAGACGTGATCCTGGAGTCTCAGGACTGAGTCCCACACCGGGCTCCCTGCGTCCCCCTCTGCCTGTGTCTCTGCCTCTCTCTCTCTGTGTCTCTCATGAATAAATAAATAAAATCTTAGAAAAAAAAAAAAGAATGTTGGATGGACCTACGACTGTACAGGTGACTGGGAAACAACAGGGTAGGGGGTGCCCCCAAAGGGTGGCATGTGTGTGGGGCAAGTGGCAGCTGCTCCAGAAGCCTCCGTCCACACCTGTTTCGACAGCCTGGGATCCCTGGTGTTGGCCCAACGTGCATCACTTCACTTCCAGGCCCTCACCTCACCTGAAGCAGCCTGGACAGAGCCTGCTCCTGGGTGAGGTGATCAGTGAGGGTGGCATCTGGTTACCCTGGGGTGTGCCGCTCGGTATCCTGCTGCCACTCACACTTCCACTACCTGCGTTACCCAGAAGTGAGCCCACCCACCTGCTTAGACACGGCGGGGCTCTGTCTACCAGCCACCAGTGGCCGTCACCACTCCCTGGGAGTGAGACCTCACCGAGGAGACAGCTAGACTCCTAGAACTTTGTGTTCTGGTCAGGGTGGGAGCACTGACAACGCGGAAAAGAGATAAGCGGGGGACCCTCCTCACACTGGCAGGTCCCCGGGCAGGGCCCGGGCTGGGCCCGGGCTGGCCTTGAACTCAGGCTTTTCTAGGGAAAAGCCAGGCAGAGAGCCCCAGCAACTTAATAGGTCCAGAAGGGCAGAGCCTTGGGTTTATTGGGAACACTGGGCTTATGAGCAGAAGGCAGGGCATCGAGCCTGGATTCAGTGCCTGAGTCTAAGGCAGGAAGAACAAAGGCAACAGTGGCTGGGGTGTGAGGTGAGGGGCACCAGCACCATTCCCAAAAGCCAGTCTTCGGGGGGCCCACCAGGAGAGCACCGTGATCATAGGGCTTGCAGGGCCTCAGAGGAGCTCCCGGGCCCTGTGGCCTGAGGATCCATTCATGGCCTGGTATGGGGGTCCCAGCTGGAGCTGGCATTGGGGGCCTCCTGGTGGGTCACTTCAGGGGGAAGCCTGCTTCTGTGCCCAGAGCATCACTAACAGGCTTCCGGGTGGCCCAAGGCAGAGGGGCCAGAGGCGAGGGGAGTACTAGCAATGGGCTCAGGGGACAGTGGGGACAAACCCTGGACAGGGAATCAGTGGCCACAGGCCTCCTTCTGCGAACGGCATGGAGTGGCCAGCAGGTGGAAAAACACAAAAGCCAGGCAAAAGAGGAGTGGGTTTCTGAGCTTCTGTGGGACCGTCCCAAGGGAACACCTGGAAACAGTGAGGGAGGCGGGGACCCGGCTGTCGCTGGCCTGTCCTGGAACCCCAAGGACACGAGCTCCCCCTTCACAGGAGGCTGGGCCAGCCCCTCCTCTGAGACAGCACCTGGGCGACCAGATGACTGGGTGTTGTCAGGTGGCTGCAGGGGAGGGGGTGAGTGGTGGGATGGTGCTTTCATCACCCCAACTTCAGGGACAATCTACTACTAGGAAAAGTGTGGAGCTGCAGCAGGTCGGAGGGCCCGGCCCCGAGGCTGCAGAGGCCACGTCCTAGGACGCCCGCCGCCCTGCCACCCGGAGGTGGGCTTTAAGGCGCCACCGCACCCTGCGGGCCCCATCCGTGGGGACCACTGTGCAGGGCCTAGGACTCCGCGGCAATCAGACCCCAGGGTGCTGCCCTGGGAGCCCGAGCTGACCTCCCTCCGAGGGGAGCATAAAGTCCCATCCGCGGCCCGCACCGCCTCCCTGGCCACCCGGGTCTGGCAGGGCAGGAGGCGGACTTGAGCCTCCAGCCTGAAACAGGAGCCCCTTCCTTCTTGCTGGCGAAGCTGAAATTTTGGTGCCAGCGGCCACGTCCCCATCTGCAGAGAATGAGGTGCCACCCAGGAAGGAGCAGAGGCGACGCTGGCCGGGCGGCGTCCGGGGTTACACTTCTCTCCAGCCACACCCTCACCTTTTCTGCTTATCTGAACCAATAAATCCCCACCTTCCCCCCTCCCCCTAGTGACTTTTGAAGTTAGAGGTCAGTAGCCACCAAAAGATTCGAGGGTGAAACAGTGGCCGTCGCTTCCCTTTCGGGTTGTGGGCCACACGGGCCGATATTCCTTCCAAAGCCCCCTTGAACCAGCGGCTGAGCACAAGCGTAGCTCCAGCTCCGAACCTGTGTGCGGTGCAATCCCCCCTCCCACCCCCACGTGCTCCCCAGTCCCCCCTGCCAGCAGGAAGCGTCAGCGCAGCGGCTCCTCCTCTGGTCCTTCCCGGGAACCCTGTGTCCCTGGATCCCTTCGGATTCTTGAGCCACGAGCCTCACGAAGTTCCAGACCCGTCCCTCCTCCTCTCTTGGAGAGAACAACTTTCCACCTTGGTTGTTATTGCAAAATGCTGAGGGGCCCCTCTGTGATGCGTGTGAAATAAGGCTTAGAGGGGACAAGGGAGGTGACCTCGAGATCGGGTCGGGGTGCGGGGGAGTGAGCAGTGGCAGTAGAGGCGGGATACGTGGGCATGGGCGCTGCTGCAGTGCCTGCAGGTGGTCAGATCCGCCCTGGGCTCTGCTGGGGGCCCTGGCTCCCCCCACAGCCTGTGTCATGAGAGTCGGGGTCCCTGCCAGGATTCTGAGGTCACCAAGAGGCAGGAGCACCTGCCGGCCAAACAGATGAGACCAAGAAGTTCAAGGTCATGGTTCACAGTTAAATACAACCTCTCAGAAACTGGCCCAGGCACCAACTATACCACCATCTCTTCCCTACACAGTGGTGAGACCGATAAAAAAAAAAATCTTAGGGCCAGAATGGGAGCCCCCCTGCCTGCTGACTAAGTGGGGGCCAGCAGGTGCTGCAATCCGCCCCTCCTGGAACAGCTCTGGCTTCTCCCCCGGCACCCTGGAGCGGGTGCCCCGCGCCCCTACACCCCCTGCCCTCGTTCAAGCCCTGTTCGGTCAGCTACTGCGCCATCAGATCCAGGACTGGGTTTTCTTTTCTCCTTTGTTGGTTCTCTCTCTCTCTCTCTCTCTCTCTCTCTCTCTCTCTCTCAACAATTTACTTATTTATTTACTTATCTATTTATTTGACAGAGAGAGCGCGTGCACTAGCAGGCAGAGCCACAGGCAGAGGCAGAGGGAGAAGCAGGCCCCCCGTGGAGCAGGGCGCCCGATGCGGGACACAATCCGGGACCCCGTGATCATGACCTGAGCCGAAGGCAGACGCTTAACCGACTGAGCCACCCAGACACGCCCCCCCTCCCTTTGTTGGTTCTCTAACGCCTCTAACCAGGGACTCCCCACCTGAAGTGACCGGGTTAAGGAAAGATCCTGGGTCCCAGTCTCCAGAATCCTGGGTCCCCTGGCTCTCTGCTCCTTGCCCCTCACCCCATCCGCTCACTGACCTGCTTCCTTCTAGCCCCTCTGCTCCCATCTACCCAGGGCTCCCCTCCAGTCCCCAATCAGATGACAGTTCTTGAAGGGAGGGCCCCAGGGACTGCACAGATAGACAAGAGGGTCTAAGTAGAGAGGAGGGGGGCCTCCTAGCCTGTGTTCTCCTCCTCTCTGGGTGCCTCTGGCTCCATTAAATCTTGGAAGAGAGACGTCATCCTGTGTAAGGGCAGCCTCAGACTGGGACCACTGTGCTTCAGAACGCTAGCCCACGATGGGGCAAAAGTGCCTTGACATAAACCCAGAGGGAAGCTTCCAGGCAAAGGAAAAATTATTCCATTGGGGTATCCTTTCCCCATTTTGATGGGAAGAGCAGGACGGGGTAGGAGGATGAGGATGTGGCCTCCCGTGGCCCTGAGACTCCTCTGGAAGTGGACCCACAGGGAGCCCAAGGCTGTTCAGACAGATGTCCGCCCATGCGGAATAGGGTGGAAAGGGGGCCCAAGGCCAGCTCTCCCTGTCCCACTGAAAGCTTCCTTGGTCAGGCAGGCCTGGATGTGGGGATGTCACCTGCCCAAGCAGGCTCACGTCAGAGGGGGCAGGGAAGGCAGCGCCACACTCCTGGTTTGCCCCGTCCAGAGACTGCACACGGCCTGGCCTCATCCCTTCCAAAATCCAAAGCTCGCACCCTGACGACAGCCAGGAGGCTCCGCAGGTGGACAGCTGCCCACAGCCCAGACACCTTTTCGGTTGCAGGTGCCCCTGTGTCTGCACCCAGCTCCCTTGGCAATGCCGGAGTGGTGGAGTGGTGGAGAGGCACCCCAGGGCCCGTCTCGCCCACTCTTCTTCCCTCAACTGCCTCACCTGGTGCCTTGAACTCTGTCTACTTCTCACCTCTCAGCACCAGACAGGATCGTATGGTTCCTTATCCCTGGCCCGGGGATGGCCTTCCACAGTGACCGGAGCAGCCTGGGGTCCCCAGCGGGGCCTGTATCCCCCTGCATCTGGGTGACCACTTTCTGGGCAGAGTTCTGGTTTCTGAGATGCTGCCTTGGGGAGGGGGGAGAGGGAAGCAAGACCAGCAGCCAGGCGATGGAGGGGATGGGGGATGTGGGGACCGAGTGGACCCCAGGCTGAGATCGGAGAGGCCCCACATCTTCAGGGAAGGCTCTGCAGGCCCCTGGGGCGTCAGGGTGGCCCCCAGGAAACACACAGTCAGGTTCCTCATGGCTGCAGCTCCTGCTGCGGTGGCCCTTACCTGCCTAGGCCCCCTTACCTGCCCTTCCCCACCCCCACGCCCATTCCTCCTTGGACCCCTGCTGAGACATTAACTCCCAGGACAATTTTCCTGTCCCCCCTCTGTCCCTGCTTCCCAAGATCCTTCAGCATCCCGTCACAGCACAGGCACACTCTGGGGTCCTTGGCCGTGAGCTCCAAGAGGGTAGGGAGGGCCGGGGCTGCTCCCCACAATGTCCTGTCCCGGCCAGTGTGGGCGTCACCTGGGTACCAGAGCTTTGGGTCTCAATTCAGGCCTCTGTCCTGAGCACCGCCCCCAACTCCTGGCTGCAGCCACTGCTGGGTGTCCACTGCCTTCCTGCAAGCCACAGATTCCCTCGGGGAGCCTGTGCAAACCTGATTTCTCATTCCTTCCAACAGCTT